AACTCACCAGACCTTCTGAGCCTGTGTCAGGGACACCGGCTAGCTTAAGGCCACACTGCACCTCTGGGGCCCTGCCCATCCCACCTGCTGGTCTAAAGTTCCACGTGAGACACTGCCTCAGATTGAAGCTTCATCGCTCTGTCTCCAGGGCCAGGGTAACCCTAGCACAGGGGGATGACGGGCATGAGTGGAGCCCCCAGCCCCAAAGGATAGAGGCATGAGGACCTTGAGCTCAAGCGTCCCTCCACTCTCCCTGCCCTGCCTGCTGGGGTAGAGTGTAGGGGAAGGGGCAGGTCATGGGGGCATGGAACCTGCTTGGGGGGCTTAGGAGAAAAGTGTAGGCCTCATGGCTGGGGGGGGGGGGAGTTGGGCCTACAGTTGAGTAGATGTTTGTCAATGCCTGACTGGCTGTGTGTGTGTGTGTGTGTGTGTCTGCAGGCACTCCTGGCTCCCCATGTCAGGGGTCAGCATTTCTGTGTGTTGTTCCAGGAGTCTGTGTCTGCGTCCAGCCAGCACCTGCTTTTCCACACTCTCTGCCTCCCTTGTCTGCTTGTGTCCACGTCCGTGACTGTCCACGGTCTGTGTTCTCGTCCAGCTGGGAGTGTATCTGTGTGTCTCTGTCTCGTGTCTCTGTGGGTGCCCGCACACTGCTGCCCCCAATGTGCCCCTGTGGGGGAGGGTACGGCCCCACAGTCTAACTGTCCTGCAGAGCAGCGTGCACAATTAAAGAAGACAGAAAAGGGGGTGCAGGGGACGTAACCCCATTCTTGGGAGAAGCGGGGGAGAGAGATGAGCCCGGAGTTTATTCAGCAACGGTTGTTTTTGTTTTTGTTTTTGTGTTTTAGCTCTTGGGGCATGCAAGCCACTTGTTCATCCTACTATCATGCACATCAAGCATGGACAATGTATTAGTCACATCAAGCAAACGGACAATGTATTAGTCTTGGTATCCTAAGTATTTGGAGGGAATCCTGTCAAAGGGAGATGGGAGGAACCAACATTCCTTAAGATACATCACAAGGGAATCCGATGTTCTTGGAGACAAGCGCCCTTTCACTGCGTACCTGAGGAGTCAGGTGTCCGTAGGAGATCTTTTTATTTAAGCAGATGTGCTGTGGAGAAATCTTCCCGGAATATTGAGTGCTGGGACGCCTCTCCCCACATTTCGCACTGCGGAGACGGGGCTCGCCTGAGGGACAGCGTGCAAACCCTGCGATCACCCGTGCTGGGAGCAGGCCACGGTCCCTTCCTTCCAGGTTCGCACACCTGTGGAGGGTTTCCTGGGTGTCTGTGCCCGGTGGGTGTCCCGGGGCGCCTGCACAGCCTGGGCCTCCCTCGGTCTGGCCAGGGAGCTCCTGGCCCAGCTTGTGGGATGGTGACTGCATGCCGCCGCGTGTCTCCGCCTGCCTGTCTCTGTCCCAGCCCCTGCGCGGGTGTGCGTGTGTGTGTGTGTCTGTCTGTCCGAGGAGGAGCTGGGCGTGCAAGGCGGAGTGAAGGAAAGGCCAGGGGAGGGAGGGAGGCCTGGCGGTGTCCGGGCTGGGGGTGGAGGCGGGGCGGAGGGGGTCTGGCGGGCTGGGTGGGGAGTGCAGTTCTGGAAGAATGTTTACAGCTCCCAGAGAAGACCCAGAGGGACAGCGCCCTGGGCCCAGACGAGAGACGCAGTCTCCCACCTCCTAGCCGAGGGTTTTAGGGGTACAGCCCTCGGGGCTGGGTGGGGAGGACCCCTTCCGGTCCCCCGGCCTCTCTCCCTCCCTCCCTCCCAGGCCCCTTTAAGACAGGGCAGGTCCGTCCTCTCTGCTTTAACCCCTCACTGCCCGGTGGCCCC